GATTTCGTTGTTAACTGACATGGTTTAGAAAACCATTAAAGCTATTATCCCAAGAGAAATCAAAGCTATAACAAGTGGAGTCTACCAATTTGTGTGTGTAGAGTGATACTTAACTATGATACTGGCTAGCGATGGAGATACATCATGAAATCATAGAAACCATAATTCATTGGCCTGAAGTGAACCTTCCATGACACCAAAATAAACCTAAGGCTAAAAAGAATAGATCAAACTGAATCAACTTAATATTAGCTAAATAAATATCTAGCGTTACAGCGGATGCTATAGGTGTTTTAAGCGGTTACGCATCCGACCAGGTTGGGACGCCATTTTGCTCCCCTCCATTGTGTTGGTAATACGCACACCCTCAGAATCCGTAGTTCAGCTATATTAGCCAGATGGGTTCTGAAATCTTCTCCCTAAATAACCTTAGTGTTTTATTTTGTTTAAATATATCACTCAGTCGAGCACACTTCTAAATAACTGTGCCTTTTTGATTTGTATTTTATTATCAGTACTCAAAAGTCAGGTAATTAGAAATATTACGGAAAACTCAGAGAGCCCTTTGAAGTCAATACGGGAGTAAGACAAGACTGCCTACTATCACCGATGACATTCTTAATCGTGGTGGACTGGATTATGCGTCAGACTGTGCATTGAGAGTGAAGAGACAGGGATATGCCAGAGTTATAAGAAGACTCTAGGAGATGTTGGTTTCGCAGATGATATATGCCTAATGTCACACAAACTCGAAGACTTAAAGGCGGAAACCTAAACGATGGCTGAAATGGCAGGCAGCGAAGATAGGACTTCAGGTGAACATCGAGAAGATGGAGGTGATGAAGATAACCAGCTGTCAGCAACAGCAACAACAACCAGCACCAATCACCATCAACAGGGGAGATATTTAACAGAGGTCACTTCCTTCACTTATCTAGGAAGCATGATTTCAACCACAGACGACAGAACAGATGAAGATGTCAAAGCCATCCAGCCAGTCAGAATTGGAAAGGCAAGATACGCCTTCATCTACCTGAAACCAGTTTGGAAAACGTCTACACTCAGCCAGCATAAAGAATAAGATTCACATTTTCAACACAGATGTGAATTCAGTCAGTCAGTCAGTCAGTTCTTCTATATGGATCAGAAACTTGATCAGCGTGTCACGAAAAGGATTTCCAACAGGCAACTGCAGACTTTTATCAACAGCTGCCTTCGCTGGCTGGCTGGCTGGCTCCATACTGAAGATCAAATGGCCGGTCAGCTGGCCAGGAAGAATTATCAACAAGAAACTCTTCAGTGGAACAAACCAATGGAGTAAGAACCGATTGCTCAACAAATATGTAGGAGAAAATGGAGATGGATGGATCGGGCATAGTTTGAGGAGGCTTTCCAATGAAATCACGTGCCAGGTCATTGCTCAACTGTAATTCTAATGGGAAGCGACGAGTCGGTGGTGGGTGCGAGGATGACATGGAGGAGATCGTAGGAGGAGGAGCTTCGAGATTATGGGTAATCGTGGGGTGAGCCAGCTGAAGAGGATGGCAGAAAACAGAACAACGTGGAGATGTGTTGTTGAAGCCCTATATTCCACTTGGAACACAGCGGATAATAATTCCTTTATTAAGGCTGGTAGCGTATCAACACCGCAAGCAGTTCATCACAGACATTTGAATTTCAGCTCTAGACTGAAAAGTGCTTTCTTCATAACCTGAAGAGTTTGAGTTCAATTTCTGATGAAATTATGACTGCGCACTGCTAAGAGGGTGGGAAGGAAAGGTTATCTCGCGCTCTCTGGTTCTCAAACATTCTCTAAAGGATGTCAGGTCGTCACAAAATTTACACTGAAATCAACTTAATCCTAACAAACCCAAAACTTGAAAAAGTAAATAATTCTTCAAATCCCATCCTTTCAAGTGGGTGATTAGAGTTTGAGATAACCGGAAAACTGGAGTGGAAACAAAACTATTTACGATTAAGCTAGTGAAGAGACGAAGTTTTGCATCTCTAGAGAACAAGAATGTTTAACACAACTCGGGTTTACTCAGTTAATAAATTGAACTCTCAAAACAAATTTATTAACCCAGAAGTAGTCATCTACTCAGATGTATAAATAGTAAACATTGCAAATTACTGTGAAATTTAATTAATTTGTTTGCTTAACTTAACTCTGTTCACTGAATTGTTATGAAATAAAATTTTCTTTTGAATGATTTGATTTCAAAAAAAGATAAACAAGGTAAAATTGTTTGATTTTATGTTAATGCTATAATCTGCTTAGCAGTGGAGCGGAATTATGAATATTATTCACTTTTCAAATTGATTACGGTAAAAAAACAAAACAAATTGAGTAGAAAATGCACTGGAATGAAGAAGTAAAGTTCAACATCTGCGAAATTTCACAACGACTTTCTTTGGAAATCTAAAATATTTAGGCCGTAATATCTGTACATATATGTATATCCTGTTTGACACTGTACATAGTACCAAGAAAGTAAGGCAAGCGTACTACATGATATGTGTGATATAAGCGAATTTGAAACTGTCTGTTAAGACCATCTTAATCTATCTGGCAAGCACCACTTGTTGGCTTCATTGATCTCAAACTACTTGTTTAAATCAGTAGTACATATACTCCAAGAAATTTAGTATTTTAAGTTACAATATCTGTAATATTTTATGGGATGGGGGTTAATAAAACGATTCGTGCTATCCTGGAATTGATAATTGCATTCACATTCATGGCGGTCTTTTGGTGTTCATTGTGAGACTTTTGCCTAAAATATGTCACAATAACATTACCGTCTAAAGAAATACTCAACTATATCAATTTTTAGATATGATAGAGAAGATTTGCAGCTCAGGTGGATGATTTTGATGTGGTTGTGTTCTCTACTAGGTGACATCTTCAGTGCATACTTCAATTTGAAGTGAGCTTTTAGATTTCTCCACGAGTTTATTAATCATCTCTCCTGGTGACCTTGGACGTGATTGGTCGTTTTTGTGTTTTCACACCTTCTAGGTTACTTGTATTGTCACTCATTGTTTCTTTGACTTGAACTTTGACCCTTTGTGTGTGAGGTTTCTTTCTTATCGGTTGATAAACTTTGTCTATCTCGATGTGTCTATTGATTGATGATTCATTGGAATGCCAAGCTTCTAAGAATTCTCTAGCATTCTCTTTGTTTCCTCTGTCTAATATTTGAACGTTGTCCCAGTCGAATTGATGTCCGTGGTTGGCTGTATGTAGTGATATGAGGGAGTGGATATCATGTCTTTTGACAGCTAGCTGATGTTCGTGGATACGAAGACGAAGGGGACGTCCACTTTGGCCAATGTAGTGTTTTTCGCAGTTGTTACAATTTATTTTGTAGATAATGTTGGTTTTATCTTACTTCTCTGTTGAGTCTTTTGGTTGACGTAGAATTGTGTGAAGTGACTTTGTTGGTTTGTGTACGACGTCAATTCCTAAAGGTTTGAAGAGTCTTGTAGTGATTTCTGAGATGTCCTTTATAAATGGTAAGGCGATTTTCTTTGTGCTTTCCCTGGGGGCTTTTGGTTTGATAGCTTGGCTTGGGGGTATATGTGTTTTGATGAAATTCCGTGGTTACCCATTCTTTTGGAAGACGTCCATGAGATATTTTTCTTCAATTTTCCTTGAGGTGGGAGTGCTGCAATGAGTCCTGGCTCTATTGAATAGTGTTTGTATGCAATTCCTCCACACAAGAGGAATCATCAATCAATAGACACATCGAGATAGACAAAGTTTATCAACCGATAAGAAAGAAACCTCACACACAAAGGGTCAAAGTTCAAGTCAAAGAAACAATGAGTGACAATACAAGTAACCTAGAAGGTGTGAAAACACACAAAAACGACCAATCACGTCCAAGGTCACCAGGAGAGATGATTAATAAACTCGTGGAGAAATCTAAAAGCTCACTTCAAATTGAAGTATGCACTGAAGATGTCACCTAGTAGGGTGATGAAAGCCTCGCAAATTAACTATCCAGCTCAGAGAACACACGCACATCAAAATATATCAATCTTTATTCTTAACAAGTATTCCTTGCAACTGTTTCTCCATTTCAACTACAGAAGAAATAGTAGTACTTTTTGGAATTACCAGACCCACCTAAATGGGCGCAGGGCATTTACAGTTAGCCACTAAGATTAAACAACAGACTATTTATTTGGTGGGTGGCGACTAGCAGTGGAATCTAGGATGCTCATTTCCTCGTATTTGGGGATAGTCAGGTGGATGTATCTGAAATCGCCATTGATTGGTGGTGTCCTAACACAGACTCGAACCCAGTACCTTTCTGTCTCTATTAGAAGACTTAGGCCAGGAAAGCCACCTCTTGTGCACTGAGAAAAACAAAAATTAACTTAAACAAAATAACAGACAATTTATATTAAGCCCATACAAAAATTTATTCTGATTAATGTTATCTTATGTCACAAATGTAAAACAAATCACAGTGGGTAAAAAGCCAATCTACATTCAGCTTGATTATAAAGGTGAAAACATTGCACCGATGATCAACAGAAGGCTGAGTACATCACTAGCCATAGCCTATTGTGCAGCTAAGCTCGCCCCATCTATCGAACAATTTGCTCTTGGTGCAATCAAAAATCGATAGATATCCTTCTCATGTTAACTCCAACTGTATATACAATGTTATCTTGTTATATGATAACGAAAAAGCTTGAATTCCAGTTCAAAGAGCCAGTGTTACTTCTATGTTAAAACTATAAATTTGTGTTTTAGTCAAATATGGAACAATACATTTGAATAGTGTATCTAAATACAAACTAAATCAAGAACGCAGTTACTCAGGTCAGTGACTTACACCTACTGGGTAGTACCGTTAGAGGTCAAACACGAAAAATCTGAGCTAATTATTAACGAAATTAAGAACTACTGATCCATATACCTCAGATATATGACCTTCCATTAAAAATGATTATATAAACTCCTCCCTCTCCCCAGAACTTACATTCATCTCAGTTACTCAAAATAATCGAATCATTCATGAAATCCGATTGAAATCCAGTGAAATCTTCGCCATCCAAATTTGAATCCGTCAATGGCGGGAAACTTGATTCATCATACTGAATAACATCAGAGTCATATAAACTAGAATTTGAATCTATCTGCATAATTTTATCCTCTTCAAAAGATGATTTACATGGTGATGGGACTGAGGCCAATAATTCACTGACAGTTGCTTCCATTTGCATATTTACATCGAAATCAGTAAGACTGAAATCATTTGGGCTAACACAATTGGAAGTACTTGAATCATGAGAATATCCTGAATAAGATGGGGAAGATGAGGAGTTATCTGTTAAGACTGACAAATTATCACCAGGTTTACAATGACCATTATGCTGCATGCCTTTTCCATTCGTTTCAAATGTATTCGATGATTGGTTGGTTTCAGGAATTAACATCTGTATCATAAAATGAAGAACAAAAGAACGTGAAAAGTTAACAATTTATTTAGCAAACAAAAATATGTGTATATCACTTTTCGTTTTGTAATTAAACATATACAATCTTGAAGTGACAAATCTGTTTTGTTTGATATGACCTTTTGAACTGTATAATTATTTTCAAGTATTAGTTTTGTAGGGAGGATTGCATGGAGGATTTCATCATGAGCTGATATCAGTTAGAGAACCACTGGAAAACCTGGGAGTACTGGACAGCTGTTTGGTCCTAGTTTGGGACTCTTCATCAGTACTCATCCACTGCCAGGGTTCGAACCCAGGAGCTTCTAGTCACAAGGCGAGCTCGTATACCATTGAACCACTGGGACCCGATCCAACGGTCCTTGAATTCTAACTTTTGCCAATTAACGACATAGAGCGACCATTTCGCAACGTCTTCTTCGATGAGTTACTGCCTCATCGTCAACCTGCAAAAGTTAGAATTCAAGGACCGTTGGATCGGGTCCCAGTGGCTCAATGGTCTACGAGCTCTCCTTGTGACTAGAAGCTCCTGGGTTCGAACCCTGGCAGTGGATGAGTACTGATGAAGAGTCCCAAACTAGGACCAAACAGCTGTCCAGTACTCCCAGGTTTTCCAGTGGTTCTCTAACTGATATCAGCTCATGATGAAATCCTCCATGTATAATTATTGACAACTTCCACGTGTATTTTAAACCTACGACATCCAGGCCCCAGTAGTTTCTAACCAATTATTGTATGAAAGGATTATTTACAGTTGCTGCTGCTGCTGCTGGATTCAACATAGAACTTGGCACCGAAGTGCAGCAGTTCGAGTTGCCACGTTCCAAATAGCACACAAAGGTAGACAGGAAAATGAGAGAAGAGAATCAATAGAATTAGATCTAAGCGAACCTTTAATTATTTACAGTGATTCAATATATTACACAGGTCATCACCTGTCAACTAAATCAGTACTGTCAACAGTGTTCATTCAATTACTTGGTACAATCCATCGGTTGCCTAGTATTTCGATTAAGTTACGCACATCTAATTTGACAAATGCTTAAAGAGACTTGAAGAATAAACAATGAAGTTTCCAGATTCAAAACTACACTAGTCGATAGCTATCAGCGCTATAAAAAGAGTAATTATTCTACTAGAAGCCTACTGATTAAACAACATCGAGAAGCTCTAAGTAGGTTAGGGACGAATACAACCATTTTAATTATTAATCCAGGTAAAGGAGCGGGGATAGTACCAATGAATAAATGAAAGTATATGGATAAGATAAATTCACATCTAAGCGACAAAACCAAATTCCAAGAGCCTAGCAACTGAAAGTATTTAAATGCAAAGGCACAAAATCAGCCGATAGACATGCTTAAGAAACTGAAAAGAAGGAATAATAATCTCTGAGGCTGCCTATAACTCTTTCTTAAACCCACTGAAAGTTAAACATTAAAATTGTATGGTCTACCTAAAGTACATAAGCCATGATTCTCCCTTCACATTAATTCTAGATACGTCTAGCTCCATCTACCATCGAGTTGCTGAATAGTTAGTTGGACGCTTACAGGCATTACACAAACAAATTGTAAGCCACATTCTAAAAAAATCTTCGTATTTTTTTAAAAATTTAGGTGATGGTAATATGAATATAAAGTAAATGTCATACTTGGATGTATCCCTAATGTACGACTGATGGAGACTGTGGAATCCATATGCCAACAAATACTGGAAAAGAAGACTGATGTCAGAATTCCAGTTATTATTCTCAAAGAACTACATCTAAGATGTACCATGAATGTACATTTCACACAGAACCACAGACAGAGAGACAGATGATTTTACTAGGGGTTCTCGATTAAGTCGAGTTTTAGCAGATTGTTTTCCTCCCTAAGCTTGAAAACGGTCAGTTGAAACAAGTAAATTGGATTTTCGTTATCGTTATACTGATGATACATTTGTTATTCTTGATCAGAAAGAAGACAAGAACGAGGTCCTGACGAAATTTATCAGTGTACAATCATCACTCGTTTTCAATTGTGAAGAGAATCATGACAACAAATTATACTTTCTTGAGGTTCATTTGAGCAGAAGAAAAGATATTTCACTCAAGATACGTTTATAAAATGACAATATCTGTAGGATTACATATTCATTTTTCAGTTTCTTATCTATGCGCTACAAAATCAACTTGGCTAGATGCCTGTCAAATACAGCAAGGAGAATCTGTACCTATGATTCCTTGAAAAATGAATAAGGATACATCCACAATGCGATGATCGAAATATGTTATCCTAACAGATTTATATGGAAACATATGAACAATGTATACAAGAAAGTGAAACTAACCACAGTGAGAAATAAACAGTTCGATTCAATGGAGATTTGCCCAGTGAAGTTTTATACCAAAGACGGACTAAACCCATTTGAGGAACTTACACTTCTGTCACCCTTTGCTTATCATTTTCCAACCAAAAAATTACCATTGCTCAAGTGAAATATCAGCTACTTAGTTGTGCTGCATCCATGTGCGTTTACAAATTTAACTTCTCCTGTGGAGCAAGCTGCAGAGGGTAAAATCTAGGTAACTTAACAAACATATTGCTGATCACTTTCCCTCTTGGTTCGTGAAAGGTAGAACAAAATCTATTAGAAGTTCAACTCCGTCTAATTTGATTGACATTGGTTACTAAGTGGACAGAAGCAGTGGTTTCATGGTTATCTATTGTATTTCATCAAAACTTTTGGACGGAATTCGAAGTCGTCTTTTACATATAGCTGAAGCTATGAGAATTCAGAAGAATAGCCCTAGCCTTTGCATTAAAAATAAGTTTGTTCTATGTTTGTCTCTCCTTTGATCTAGGTAAATCCAGTAAACTCATTAAAAATTATCATCCTACTTTATTATTCACTACTTTTATACACTTATTATATTTATTTCTACTCTGACTCAATATCCACTCCATCTTAATTATTACGTGATTTCTGATTTTGTAAGTCTTATCATTGACATTATTACCATCACTATTAATATCACTATGATCGCTGTTATCAGTGCCACATTTACAACACTTAACACATATTTGACCCACAAATTCACCGTTGAAAACAAAGTTGTACGCCTATTTACCTTGTTTTAGTTTTAACAACGTGAATATTTAATAAGTTGAATTCTAAGGGGCAATTCTTACCGTAGTCAGTAATCCTTGAAACTAGCCATGGTAGTACACATTTCCAATTAATGTTACATTGTTGGAAGCGATCAGCATGAAGTTCGGTCCTAAGTTTCGCGCTCATTGGCATGATCAATATGGTGACCAGTCAGTATAATTATTTCAGTCCTACAAAGGGGTAGCCGTGGCTCAGAATAGGTGAATGACTGCAGTACTGAATGACAGTGGTCCAAATCTCAGAGAGAATTTCAGTTCCCTCAGAGTTGCAGGTATACCGTACTGACAAGTGCCAACAGTCACATAAACTATGTCCACGACTTTCTGCCTATCGTCTCTGATCACCTAATAAATGGTATATTTACTGCTGGCACTTTATTGACAGATAAAATATGGTTTGTATCTAATACGAATTTTGTACTTTATCTTATTCTATATGATCTTCTTATTAAAAATGTATCTGTTATCCTTTATAACAACAGAAAACTTCGCTTGTTTTTTGTTAATGGGCTCAACGGTAAAATATGCTTAAGCACATATCGCTTACCTTTTGATTATAAGAATTATTCATCTGTAAATATGTGAAACGCTTATTATTATTAGTGATAGTAGTACAGGGTATTATAGTCCGATAATCAGTGTATCTATCATTTTTATTATTAGTTCGATTTTTATATCTAAATGTTGTAAGGGATTGAAATTTCTTCACAGAACCTGGCACAGTAGACATTGTTATTGAAGGTGAAGAGGAAGAGGAGAGAAAGACTATCCGTTTTGGTGAGGACGAGGAGGAGGAGGATGATGAAGGTGATGATACTGATGATAATGATGGTTTGTAACTAACCACTGGTAATACAGATCTAGAAAAATATGGGATAGTTGATAAATTAGGACGAAGTGAAGATTTCATTGCTGAAATATTCAGAACAGAATTCATACTGTTTTCACTGTTAATAAGAAAATGATTAGCACTATTGTTGTTGTTGTTGTTACTATTAATACTGCTGTACAAGTTAGTATTTGAATAAGATGAATAAGGCACACGGATATTTTTGGAGTTATGTAATAATGGGAACTGAATTGTTTTTATGGGATTATTTGCATAAACGATCTGATTACATCCTTGTGGTAATCTTTGCTTTATCGGTCGAATAGACTGAATAGGAAAGAATTTAACTGGTCTGGAATTAGTATTCATATTATTATTATTATTTCTGCTATTCCCCATTGTATTTGTAGATTTTTTATTTGTCGTTGAAGATTTCATACGAACAGGACGAATGGATGGATGTGTTGAACGAGTTTGTCTATTTTTAGGCTGATTAGCAGAATATTTGTTTGAAGTGTTACAAGTTGGTTGGCTCACTTCAACTTGCGGTGTTTGATTGTCATTGTTTGTCTTTAATTGATATTGTGCAAGTAAGTTTTCAAAGTCTTTACAGAATAGTCGTTGATTGCAACTGACAGCATGTGTCGTGGATTCGCATAATCTAAATTAAAGGAACACGAATAGATACATTTTCCACGACAATACATATATGCATATATAAACACTTGTCGCGTGTTACTAAATTACACACAGTCTGTTGTTTGCGAAATTTATTTTGGCTGCTGAAGTCAATCTTTACAAAAAGCTTTTATGTGTCCTGAACACACAGCTGGAGAATCACAGGTGGGATAAATTGCCTCTTTGAAATTCTGTTTTAAAATATTATTTTATATATGTTTTGACTGATAATGGTGAATATCACTTAAATATATACATAATTTGTTGATAAAATAGCTCATGTATATATCTACACTAGGTAGGTTGGTAGAATTAAAAGGAGTTATTATATTTAATTGTAATGTTTAATGTCACTTATCAGTGAGCTGTATTTGTTCTGATAATTCAGTGATTACATATCTGATTATGGATTTGTAGTGGATTTCTACAGTGATTGACCACTTGCTCGATTGAGGTTTGGACAGCCAGGTAGTATGATTAACTCTTACACAACAGATGTGGTACACTACCATCTGTGTGGAGTAACACTTCACATTTCTGAAGAACTATGTATCCTTTTGGAATATCGTACACAACTTACTGATTTAGATATGATGGAGAAGATTTGTAGCTCAGGTGGATGATTTTGATGTAGTTGTGTTCTCTGAGCTGGATGGTTTATTTTACTTCACATTGAAGTATGCGCTGAAGATGCTTCCTAGTAAGGCAATGAAAGCTTCGCAAATAAACTATTCAGCTTAGAGAACAAACTACATCAAAAACAACTTACTGATAAATGATAAAACACAGCTCTATCTACTTGTCAACTTCCACCAAAATCTGATACATTTCAACTTTCAGTAAAGAATAAAACTATTGAATGTTACCTGATATTACTATGCAGTGTCTATTATTAACTTCCTACTTGTTTTCTCACAATAAAATATGAAAGCATTCACAAAAGTGAAATAGCCTTAGACTTTACACAATAAAGATGTATCAGGAATTACTATATTCAAAATTTATGCCTATCAAGTTGTTAAATCTTCTAGTTTCACACGGATAATTATGAGTCCGTAACTAAAAGGGAGACTGAGAGTTGGAAACCTGAGGAGTAATAAGTTCTTTTTCAGAAGATGCGACCCAGTCAAGATATTTCTCCACCGATACAGAAGGACTCATAAATTACGAACTTATCACTTTAATTTCACTTTAATTTTTCCTTCTTCTTTACATCGTTCCTCAGTCACTGAACACATGTAAACGAGTATAGACCCATCAGCTTATCTCTTATAAACCAGATTATATGAACAGATGTGTGGTTTTCTTATCGTCATTATATTGCTTATTCTTCTCTTATCGTAAAATCTGTCTATATAAATCGTAATTTTACCTTACCTATTGACTTCACCACATCCCTGTGTATTAAATATTTTCAGAATTCACCAAGATTTCAACCATAACTATAAAACTACTGAAAATAAAGTATCTGAATCCACATTATATGGTAAACTGTAATTATAACAAGCATTTCTAACTCTTTCATAGTCCACATTACTGATTTATACATGTGCGTCGGTGCCACAGAGGTTAGGACGCTCGCCGACCATGCACATGGTCCGGGGTTCGATCCCCGGCCGACGCACTCCTTTACCTCGCTAAGCCAGAAATAAAGCTAGTAAAGGGGAAAGGTTGAGCATGAGGCTAGCAATCCCATCCTGTAAAAATAAACACTGCTACAGTAACTTCAAGCTTCCAGCTTGTTTTCATATACCCCACCTAAAATCAATAAAAGTAAGTTTAATTAAGTGTTTATATTATCAGGCCAGGAACCTAACTGGTAAGTCAGGAAATTTACATAATGAAATTTAGCAAATAAAGGAAACAGTAGTGAATAACTAACCACTGGATTTTATTCAAAAATGTATGAGGACCCATAAGGGAAATAAGAGTAGTAATGTAAGTAATAATGAACCCAAGGCCTCTATAGTACCACCATATAAATAAGGAACATCAGAGACTTTACATAGAATTCCTAATAAGGTTCGAGTTAGGGTGGCACTGAAATCAACTAACTTTCTCAGAGATAAACTCTGTCGGCTTCAGGACACGACAGATACAATATGATAAATAATATAATTTATCAAATATCATGTAATGAATGTGAGGTCAACTACGTAGGTTAAACTAGTAGATTGGGGTCAACTAGATTATTGAAACACAAAAATTTAGCTAAACATAGAATGATTGACAATGCTAATTGAAATAATCTAGAAAAACGCTCAGCCATTGCAATGCATTCATTTGCATGTAATCACAAAATAGGGTGAGACAGGGTGAGAGTATTAAAAACTAATCTAGTTCTATGGAGACAGAGGTTAATCACTAATTCTTTATTTATGGATTCAACACAGCACATATATGCTATCGGAACGACGCACCGCTTATATAGAAAATTACACCGAATAATAAGAAGGAGAGAAAAAAGTATGTAAAAGCAAATTATGAAGCCGTGTGAATGCATCGATATGAATATGAGCAATTAATTCTGCTATAAACATCATCCAGTTATTCAATAGTACACCATTGTGTGTTATGTCAAATAAACTTATCTAATATAGAATTAAAAGAGATCTACTTAGATTAATCATTGCAGAAAATTTGTAAAACCGAACTCACCCAAGGAATCGATGAAAACAAACAAATACTTTGTTTACTTTATTGTAAAATACTAAACTACGTATCCATTGAAATGATTTTTCTACTGGAATATTTAAATTTTCATTTGGTACTGATATTCTATATGGACTGATCCATTTGGGAGAACTGGTATGTGTTACTAAAAACAAAAAGAAATGGCACCAAGAGAAGAAATAACGTTAGCGGGAATATGTATAGTAGTGATTTAACCCTTTATCAGTAGAAGTTAAACTGAATCTGTTTACTCATAAATTTATATTTATAAATTCGCGGCCTGCTTGAATCACTGGACTATGGAAATTACTTTCCACTAAAATACTTAATTTCATCTGGATTTGTCTTTGTTTTAATTTAGTTTTTATTTATTGCCACTTAATGACCTTTTCTGTAATATAAATACGACTGTACGGCTTGAAAATGAAGTCGTTGAAAAGAAATTTCTTCGCTGAACAAAAACTGTGTTCTTACTTATGAATAAATGGGTATTTTTCGTGATTTGTTTTAATCGTTCAGTTATATCAGATGACCTATACATGAAATTGCGCGCTGATTTAATTTGCTTCCAAATAAAGGCTGTGCAATGAAGATATACTTCAGATTACTACTCTACATGTAAATTCTGTATGGAGAAAAAAGTATTTTGGAACTAAATTTTTGTACCATATGTCTGAAATAAAGCCTTATTAGTATATATGACTAAAACTTTAATTATCGATAGTACTTTCTCATAAGTTGATAACTGTAACCGATGAGTACAGAATAGATAGAATACAGTGCAGTAATACAGTGCAATCAATGTTTCAAAACAAAAATTTCCTTCGACATAAACGATATTGATAGTTTGAACTTCTGATGTTAATGAGTAAAGCATATTTAAATAATTATCAATAATTATCATTTATCTATCTAACAATTGTGAAGAAAACACTACCAGGTGCATCACTTCTTTTTTGTATTTAAAATAGGCACATACATTCTTCTAAAAATGCTTTCAACGGTCACATACACTCAGTGGTCAGTAATGAGCTTTACTTCACTTCAGTGCCATGTAAAATAAAATACTCATTAAATACAGACTTTACTATTCAAGTGTTGGTTTGTAGGGATTTGATTGATTGGTTACAGGATTTCATCATGAGCCGACATTAGTTTGAGAACCATTGGAAAATCTGGGAGTACTGGACAGCTGTTTAGTCCTAGTTTGGGACTCTTCATCAGTACTCACCCACCGGGATTCGAACCCCGGACCTTCTGGTTACAAGGCGAGCTCGTATACCATCAAGCCACTGGGACCCGATCCAATGACCAGCCCATGAATTCTAACTCCTGCCAATTCACGACATAGCGCGACCCCTAGCCAATGTCTTCGGCGAGTATTTGTCTTCACACTCGACCTGCTGCACCCTACTGGTCACGGTGCATACAGAACTCCGCCCCACCGGGACAAGCACGATTCAGGAAGGGAAAATCATGTGCTGATCAAATTCCAACTCTACGCATTGTCATCGAACAAAGCATAGAATGGAAGGTGAACTCCACTCTACCTCAACTTCATCGACTTCGAAAAGGCTGTTGATTGACACTGATCACCGAGACGTAATTTGGGAACTATTTCAACACTACGGTGTACCTCAAGTCTTCATCAACTTCATTCAACAGCTGTATGACAGTGGCGCATGTCAGGTGATCCACAACGGGAAACTCAGTGAAGCGTTCGAGGTGCATACAGGAGTAAGACAAGCTGGCTGCTTATTATCACCAGTGATATTTTTGATTGTGGTGGAATGGATTATCTGTCAGAGTACGCTGGACCACCAATAAAAGACTCTAGAAGATCTGGATTTCGTGCGTGGATGATTTATGTTGAATGCCACACAAACTCGAAGACTTACAGATGAAAACCAACAAACTGGCAGAAGAGGCAGTGCAGCGAAGACAGGACTCCAGGTGAACATAGAGAAGATGGACATGGAGGTGATGAAGATAACCAGTGACAACAACAACCAGCACCAATCACCATCAACGGGAGAGATTTGACAGATGTTACTTCCTCCACCTATCTTGCCAGGAAGCACGGTTTCAACCGCAGGCGGATGGCACGGATGAAGATGTCAAAACCAGCTAGCCAGAATCGGAAAGGCAAGATACACGCTCATCAACCTGAAATCGGCTTGGAAAACTTTTACACTCAGCTAACATACAGGACAAGATTCAGATTTTCAACACAAATGTGAAGTCAGTCAGTCAGTTCTTCGATATGAGTCAGAAACTTCCACTGCGTGTCGTGAAAAGGATTTCCAATAGGTTACAGACTTCTATCAACAACCGCCACCTTCTCTGACTGCAAACTGAAGATCAAATGGCCGGCCGAGACAGGCCAGAAAGAATTAGCAACAAGAAACTGTGGGGACAAAGCAACCAAGAGTCCATTGCTCAACAAATATGTAGGAGAAAATAGAGATAAATTGAGCATACCTTGAGGAGACCGTCGAATGACATCACGGGCAATGCAGGCCATCGCTCTAGTGAAATCTGAATAAGAAACGACGAGTAGGTCATCATTGCGAGGGTGACATGGAGATCATGTGAAGAGGAGATGAGAGAGTTCGGGCAATCGTGGACTCAACTGAAGAGGCCAGCAGCAAATAGGAGAAAGTGGAGATGTGTTTTTGAAGCCCTATCTTTCACTCGGAATCCATGGGAATAATCATAACAAACGTCATCTCAGTCCAGTCCTTGCTTTCAAATATTTCCGTTGCTCAATGAAGCAGAATAGTCTTACTCAGTATTTCGTTCAGATGCCTCAATACCTTTCGGTGCTTTGTACCTAAGTCTAAGTTCAATTGTTTACATTACATAACTATAAAATCAAGCTCAAAGAGTTAAAAAAAATACCTACCATTATCAAAAATATTAATCACTTGTTGTAAATCATCAGGATGAATAAATTCCAAATAATAATAGCCAATTAGGTTGCTGTCCTCATTAACATTGAAACACTCCTGATAACTGTAATGCAGAACATTGAAGCAACACAAAAATTACAAGCTGAGATTTGTTATTCTACACAGAGTCAAAATAAATCGTTAAAAATTATGCATAAAAAATTGTCATTCAGAAGGCCGGTGGCACAGCTCTGTCAGGAAGAGAAAGATGAAAAAAGGAACTAGCCTACATTTTACTGCCTAAGCGCTCCTTTGGATGCATCAAACTGAACTTTATGCATGTATCTGAATAAACTGTGACTTAAATTTTCAGGTATTCTGTTTGATAAACTAATAATTAACATAAGTAATTATCAATTAGTCATTAGGATTAATGAATATCGAAACAAAGGCTTAAATTAATTCTTATTTCACAAGGAGATGTTTCACGCACATTCTTTGCCAAACTTATAAATCTAGGTGGCTACATTCATTCAAGATGCTTCACCGACATTTCCAGATACTTACTATTGCTTCAAATAGTTTACTTATTTGTTTTTCTTTTAACATCTGACGTTTATTATGAAATATTAACAAGCAAATTGTTTCAAAATGTATCACAATTATTCTGAATGTAACAAGATTGGAATAATCGCCAGTCAACAGTCATATTTTGTTGTTACAGACCTGGTACAATTAGTTGTTCTATTATTCGTAAATATTTCGCTGTTTTTCATAGATGTTACGAAGCTTAAATCTCTCTTGAATTCTACCCTATTAATTCATCTGCGATCAAATAGTTAGACGAGGCCGCGTAATCTAACTTCGTATTGGTACTAGAAATATTTCTATGGAATCTTTGTTTAGATTTCTGACACACTGGTGTTGTATTAAAACTCCACTTCCCTAAGATATGTAACACAACACAGTTTCCGGAGTTTCGAACACATGCAACACTTGATTTGAGGTACTCCCGTTTGATTTGACTAGATTTAATGATTTTATGAGTTGATCACAGATTGATATCAGTTAGAGAACCATTGAAAACCAGAAAGTACTGAACAGCCAGCTGTTTCATCCTAATTTGGGAATCATCGGCAGTAAGCACTCACAGGGATTCGAACCCGGGACCTTCCGGTTATAAGGTAAGGTCGTATTTCATTCAGCCACTGGGACCCGATTCAGTTGGTTGGAGTCGCGCTAAATCACGAATTGGTAGGAGTTAGAATTCATGAGCCATTGAATCGGGTCCCAGTGGCTGAATGGTATACGAGCTTGCCTTGTAACCGGAAGGTCCTGGATTCGAACCCTAGTGGGTGCGTACTGCCGATGATTCCCAAACTAGGACGAAACAGCTGACTGTCCGGTACTTCCTGGTTTTCAATGGTTCTCCAACTGATATCAATCCGCGATCAATTCGTAAAAACATAACTAACCCTTACAAACCAAAATATAGAAAATTAATGGTAAAGAATAACACGGACAAAAGTACTCTTTTCGATAAATTCATCATCAGGCTCTACAGTTATATATACATTATAATGAATGAATGAATTAGTGTTATGAACAACACTAATGTTTAAATAACATCGAATCAATAATATTGATAGATTACAGCCCATAGCATCAACATAAAATAAGCTGAATGTCAGAAGAATTAGGAAAGGTAATAGTACAAATTCATGAGTTTATAGTCTCTACTGAGGGCCAGGGCAGTAGTAGGGGCTGGACTTGTTTCTTTTGGACACAGCACTGGTTGTTTGAGGCGAATTGCAATAGCCTCTGCTGTTCGGAGCATGCGGTGCTTCGACGATTTGTAGTTTGTTAGGCACCCGGTATATTATGGAGAAGGAATCGTCTACACTGGCTTTGTGACGTTGCACCAGATGGTCTAATATATTTTAATTCTTCTGACATTCAGTTTATTTTATGTTGATGCTGTTCAGCTGTAATTTATCAATATTATTGATTTGATGTTATTTAAACATTAATGTCGTTCATAAGACTAATTCATTCATTCATTCATTATAATGTATATATAATTGTAGAACCTGATGATGAATTTATCGAAAAGAGTTCTCTTTGTTCCGTGTCTATTCTTTAGAAAATTAATGATTTTAAAAGTTATATATAGACAAATCTTCAGACAACAAATTAGTGGCATAGGGATGAATTTCAAAACAAACGAAGGGATAAAACTCCATCAAAAGGGATATTTTCAAGTCGTTTTCGTGTGCTTTTTCGTTGTCACAGTAAGTATCAGAAGTCCAAACCAATTGAAAAAGTGTTTAATATAATAAGGAATCGTTTTAAAAATGAGACACTAGCTGGCAAAGAGATAAAATAAAGTTCACATATCCTTTACTTGCTTGTAAACATAGAAGAAATACTGAATAATAGCCAGATTGCAGGTTCATTCGCCTAAATCTTAGATGAATACTTGAAGTAGTTTAAGTAAACGAGAACTACGTGAAAAATACTACAGAGGTAAATCCAAACAAAAGCAATTCATGTAGTAAAATGACAAGGTTCATATACTGAAAATTGAAAATTTCCCATTGGCCGAAAGGACTACTTTGGGATCATTCTATCTGGTATATTTCAAGAACTTGTTTGACAAAGAGGCTAAAAAGAAATTATGAAAGCTAATACTTAATATTTAGCTAGGAATATATGGAAAGGGAGAACGAAAAGAATCGTTAAAATGCATTTATTTTTTTCTTTTCTACTAAAGACTGATTTCATTGAGAAATCTGATAACAAAATGGTATTACTTTTATTGGCCCTGTAGATTAGTTCAGAAGAATTTCACGGAATATTCACTCGAATACCTAACGAATACCTCCCTTACTTTTTGCTAATCTTACAACTAATGCGGATGATAGAAAAAAAATTCAAACTGTTTTTGAAAGAAGCTAGATGTTTTGATTCATATTTTGATGAATTGAAGACACTACTAATGAGGAATATATAGATATGCTTAATATCCCAAATAATTCAGAATTTTTATATAAAAGGTTATCATCCGACCATGTCTAAACATGGCTCTACATACTACTGCCTGATAGACTTGAGTAGTTGGACACCAGTTACATCAACCAACAGCACTTCCTAGTCAGATCGAAGTGGTCTAAACACCGAACAGCCGGTTTGCTCGTTTGGGGCCGAGCTCACCAACAGTGTACCCGATTTAACTCATCTCAGATAGCCGAATCAGTTCAAACCACTCAATTCAATGGAGAACTAATCAAATTTCAAACATCTAATAACGTGGAATAAGAAACGTGTTCATAACTGGATAACTAAGATGATTAGGTTTATAGATGATTATTATATGCAATTACATAAAAAGTTATGCGTAATGACCGGAAGTACCACCTATTATCCAAGTGACAGGAGGAGTCGAACCAGTATCCAAACTGCTGTTTAAGTGCTGATGTGTAAAAAATACTGCTACTATTGAGATAAAAGTAATAAAAACAGTGCTGACTTACTTCCCCTCTATCGTCTCAATCTTGAGTGCAAAATTTAAACATGTAAGACAGTGGGTGGATTTCGGTTGTGAACAATCACTTCTTTGTTTGGATAATGTTGGTACTGATGACGGTGTTGATGATGATGGTGATGATAAGGCAAGGCTGGATGACTCTAGTACTGATTCATCAGAATAATTACTATCCATACTTTTACACAATGTAGAAGGAAGGAGACAATCGGGTTTTTCAGTAGAATCATATTTTTCTTCCTCTTCATTTGGTTCAGAAATAGATGAATTAGGGAGTTTATCACTGTACACAGTTTCAATGTCTTTACTGTTAGTAACACCACTATCAGTCACTGTATTTTCAGCGGATGGGTAAAGTGTTGATCCATAATTATTTATAGGTTGTAAAAGGCACAAGTATAATCCAGTAGATGTTGGCCAACCAAAATCATCGAGGAAATTACATGAATTGTTTGTAGTATTAGTTACAGATGAAGACGAAGGTGATCTAGGCCAGGATGAATCAAAGTTTAGCGGATCTGACGAAAATGAATCATTATCGGCGATAATATCCATCAATAATCCATCGTCCATTAAACATTTACTAATATCATCAATATTGTTATTAGGATCATTATTGACTGTAACATTATTTACATCAGATACATTTAATGTATCTAAAATTTGATTTAATTCACTTGAACACCCGTCAAGTGTATTAATTACCGAATTGGTCCAACAGTAACATATCTGTAAGATTTAGAAAAAAACACAAATAGATCAGAAAAGAGTAATATACGCCTTACAAATAACTAGAAAGTGAAATTTTTTAGAAATCAGATTGATTATAATATCTAGGCTCATATCGGCATGATTTCAACTGAAAACTTAGATTTTACAATTATTGGGTTGCAAGATATTGATTGATTTTGGGGTAGGTTTAGTCACAAACTGATATCACTTGGAGAATTATTGAAAATGAGAAACTCTAAGACATCTATTTCACCCTAGTTTGAGAATCTTCACAAGTGAGCACCTACTACCCCACTAAAAACCGAATCCAGCTTACGAGGGAAGTCCGTTGGTTATTAAGGCATTGGGATGGAATCCAATAACGCATGAACCCCAGTTTCTCTTTCTCATATATACATCTCAAACTTTAAGTATCGTTATGAAAATATAAATCAAGACTGATATTCAACAATAGCCAGAAATTTTGTTTCCCTTATATGAAAGATTTTCAGAATCTCAGGCGTGATAAGGGAATAGTTTTACACTATTGTGATAAACAAACTACTGCTTGAGATCAAGAGGAATCTTAAGCCATGATATTCATTCACCTATTTGTCTACAGGATACGATCAAAATACTTTCATTGCATGGAGGATTTCATCATGAGCTGACATCAGTTAGAGAACCACTGGAAAACCTGGGAGTACTGGACAGCTGTTTCGTCCTAGTTTGGGACTCTTCATCAGTACGCGCCCACCCACCGGGGTTCGAACCCGGGACCTTCTGGTTACAAGGCGAGCTCGTAGACCATTGAGCCACTGGGACCCGATCCAATGGTCCTTGAATTCTAACTTCTGCCAATCCAGTACTCCCAGGTTTTCCAGTGGTTCTCTAACTGATGTCAGCTCATGATGAAATCCTCCATGCAATTAAACAAAATCCCTACCAAATCAATACTTCAAAATACTTTCATCAGCTGACCAACAAATTCTTACTGATTAACAGACCTTCAAGAGTAGTTGATTATACCATCTAATATTTACAAGTAAAGTGCTTTATTACACCAAAGATCCGTGAATTAATAATAAAAAGGGCTACCTTTTTCAACAGTAACATGTTTTGCCTAAACTGGAATGATCATATTTTCTGGAGGAAAAACCAGTAACAAAACACTATAAAAAGATACATTTTATTCCACTTGGTATTTTTCAAATAAAAACAAAAAACTTCGCCGGCTGTTCCCTTTTCTAAACTATAATCATAATAAAATAGAATAAAACTTGTTCTTTTCTTCTTTTGTGGCATTTTCAATAGTAATTACATTGTATTATCCACGTGATCGCATGCATTAAAGTAGCACACAAAATGATGAATTCATAGTTATTTAGGTTATGTCGAATCAAGATATGCTTATATTTTCAGGTGTTGATTTGCAGGGATTTTACCTATTTCAGTGTTTACCACAAAATGATTTCAGTTAGGGAGCTACTGAAAACCACAGACTACTGAATAGCTGTTCCTCCGATGTTTTGAATTCTTCAGAAGTGTGCAGCCATGATCCCTCAAGGGATCGAACCCAGGAACTTCAGGTTACAAGGCGATGTCGTTGACCATTCAGCCACTGGGATGGAAATATATGAAGTACCATAGAAAAACTAAGATTAGTAATAAAAATGACGAAAATAATATAGAGTTCAAAACCTCTCTAGTACTGTCGTATAAAGAAGGAACGTCAGAGGCCTTAAGTAGGATTCTCAATGAGGCTGGAATTAGGGTAGCATTTAAACCAACTAACTCTCTCAGAGATAAACTTTGTCGGCTTCAGGACACGACAGATCCAATATGATAAATAATATAATTTACCAAATATCATGTAATGAATGTGAGGTCAACTACGTAGGTCAAACTAGTAGATTGGGGTCAACTAGATTATTGAAACACGAAAATTTAGCTAGATCTAGAATGATTGACAATGCTGAGTGAAATAATTTTTTTATTGATTATAGCTTGATTCCAACCTATTTTCGGTACTAGTATGGAATTTTCAATGTGATTCGGTAGCCCAATTCGCAGGCCAACCATGATACAGGTGTTCGACTCTACCGAGCACAATAATCTAGAAAAACGCTCAGCCATTGCAATGCATTCATTTGCATGTAATCACAAAATAGGGTGGGAGAGAGGTTAATCACTGAGGTTTTGTTTATCGATTCAACACTACATACCTGCAATCGGAATGATGCACCGCTTATACCAGATATATGGAAAGTGGCAACAAACAACAAAGGGAATTTGAAGAGACAGAAAGAGAGGAAACATTTATAAGATAAATTGTGAAACCGTGTGAATGAATTGATATGAATATGAGCAATAAATTGTTCTCGAAACGTCATCCAGTTGTTAATACTGCATCGCTGTGTGATATTTAAAATAAACTTATCTAATATGGAATTACATTCTACCATAGTGCCCAAGTTCTACATTTACATTAATGGAACTAAATGGCTCATCAGTTCTAACTTCTGCCAATTCATGATATGTAGCGCTACCACCAGCCAATGTTATCGGTGAGTATTTGTCCTCACACCCAAGTTCTTTCATGCTTATGGTTAATTATTACCACTGTAGAGCCCAGACTAAAGATCCTGTACACTTTTTGTTGAATGTAAAGAAATGACACATTTTGTATAGCTTTTGTTTTAACTGACATCTTTGTTTTAATGATAACTTTTTTCGTGTGACTGGAAATACACACTTCCTTGTCATTGTTTAGTCTTCTCACTCTCCGCAACTGTTCATCAGCCACCCTAATTCTTGGTTGCGTACTTTGGAATTCACAGGAATCTATCATCCTCATCCAAAAGGTATTCAACAATCCCTTCGAAACATCCACATTGGAGAAAACACCATCTTACCATAAACAGTGAACCATACCTCTGGATTATATTGTTTAAATTGTTGAAGTGAACTTAATCCAATTTGCAAGTAACTGTACTTTTTTATAACTCACATTAACAACTGTATCATAACAGATGGTCATTAATTTAGTTGGGAGTGTAATCCAACTATAAACCAAAAAAAATACCTTAAATAAGCTTAATATGAATAGTTTCATTTTGAAAAGTTAATAAAATAAGTATAAACTACTAATTTAATGAAAAGTAGATTATTTACTGCATATATATCAAACACTTCACTTGTTACTTAAATCATTCTACAGCAAACTCATAACCAGAACAAAGTAAGAACAACAGATTAAGCAATGTTTATTTTATTTTATATTTCATTTTATTTTTCTGGTTACCGTCAACTGCATACAACCTAGTTCTAGTGAGAAGTCATGACCATTGGAGTACAGCAGGTTGGGTATGAGGACATATACTTACAGATGACACTGGCTAGTGGTCGCGCTATATCGTGAATTGGTAGAATTTAGAATTCATGGGACACTGGATTGGTTCCCAGGGGCTTAATGGTCTACGAGATCACCTTGTAACCGGAAGGTCCTGGGTCCGAACGTCGGTGGGTGCGTACTGATGAAGAGTCCCAAACAAGGTTGACGAAACAGCAGTCTAGTACTCCCTGGTCGGTTTTCCAATGGTTCTCTAACCGATTTCAGCTCATGATCAAATCCTGTAACCAAATAAATCAAATCCCTGCCATCCAACACTTGAACATGTAACAATTTTAATAACAATAAAAAAAGAATATTCACATATTTCAGTTACTCAGCATCAAGATAAAAGCCATGGTTTTTATGTAATTAAATAGCATAATGGAGAGTATAGATGTTAGTAAACATGTTAGTATATATGTACATAATCACAAGAATATTTTGTAGCTAGGGAAGGAAACTGCAAACTGATTAGAGCTTTAAAACTGACAACAAGTGTTACTTAGTCATTAAATAATGTAGTTGAGCAGTGGTCAAACAATAGTCAATTTAAAAGTACTGATAGAAATAGAAACTAAGAGCATGAAATTACATTGTCAAAACAAAATATAATCAAAAGAACAAAAATAAAGAAATATATATTCACTATTTTACAGCAAGAATGACAACAGTTTATTTCAGGGTGCGTAATTTCAATTTTAACCGTTTAACACCTACCTCTTCCATGATCCGTAGTAAGCTGTATTTGACCTGAACTTTAATTATTTTGAATGATTTTAAAACAGATATTATGACCACTATCTGTTAAGTGGTGATCAGTCACAATACTAGGGAGTTTTCTTACCTTCAGTCAGAAGTTTCTCGGAATATGAGCAGACATGTGGTCACAAATCCTTCATTCAGTTCGTCTTATGTATATGTATTGGTACATATACTGCTGGATGCATGTGTTGTTAATCTTACACCTATAATGGATTCGCAGCTTCCATTTCTAACTGAAGAATATTCTCGTAATTATTCTTATTCAGCGTTGGTGGCGCAGAGGTGAGGACTCTCGCCGACCATGCAAATGGTCTGGGGTTCGATCCCCGGCTGACGCACACCTGATATCAATGGGTCGGCCTGCAAAATTGGGCTACCGATATCACATGCTGAAAATTCCATACTTGTACCAAAAATACGGTGTGGAATCAAGCTATAATCACAAAATAACCAGCTTAATAACATCATTTGTCTTTTCCATTATGTAATCTAATTATGTAATATTAGTGGCCTTCATCTGCCTGCTCAGTAACTAAAGTGTGTGAGTATTTTTTTCTATTGACATTAAAATTGTTTTAGTTTGTGTGCAGTTGACTATAGTCAACGAAATAAAATATCATATTACCCTTCTCCATTCGTTGTTCTTGCTTTGTTCAGTTTCATCAGTCAGATCAGGACACTATGGAATTGATAACCAATTAACTGCTTTAATGTGCCTTTTTTTCTATTTAATGTGATGATAATTTCATGTTGGATAAATCTATTTGATAGACATACAGCGATATAGTACTGTTAACTCTATGATATTTAGATCGCAATCTATTGTTCATAAACATTTCAGTGTATTCACACGACTTATTAA